CAAATAAATATAATTGACACTTATGTGGTGGCTATAATATACATTCTGTAGTTGTCATATACAGATTAAGGAGCTGTACTTTTCCTTTGGTGAACTGTCCACCACCAAATGTTCAACAAGGCTTTTGTATTTGTCGTCTAATCTTTGTTTGGAAGGGTCACCTGCAAAACGAAAGAGTAATTTCAGTCCTTAACTAAAGAACAATGTAATCTAGCCCCATTGGTTTTAGAGTCTAATCTATGTGATATTATGTGATCCGTTCAATTAAATTTGAAATTATATGATTCGTTTAATTTTACCATTTAATGACACTTAGTGCTACCTAAATTAATGTTCTAATATAGTAGTGCATTTCACTGTGAAACATATTAAAGTTCAAGGTCAGGATTGATGTTGCCCTATATCTAAACCTGTCCATTTAAGAATAATACTTTTCGAAACTAATATTGATTATTTATATTTAAGTTTTATAATTCTTATATAATCTAAACGAGTTACAGTGTTGATATTGATTGAAGAGTAGATAACGATAGCATAAAGAAAACGGACTGAGAGGCTTCAAGTGTGTGTGAGAACATATGGTAAATTTTTGTAGATTTTGGCCATTCGTAAAAGGTATTTTTTTAAACAGCACATGGTAGGAGCTGATCCCTCGCCTACAATGAGCAAGATAACAATTGTCCACCATTACATGACAACGGTCAACCATATTTTTTTTTACTTTTCAAAAGAAAAAATGTCATATATAACTACGGGGTATTGTAACTCCTGTTTACGGTGGACAGGAGATCATTTCTACGTTGCATGGTGCCAACAAGAGCTTCTTAAAGGTGGACAGGAGATCATTTCTATTGTCACACAATTTTCTTATTAAGCATTTTGTCAATTAACAACTCAACGCCTAAGACCATAAAGCATAGCAGGTTTAAAGACCTTTTGCATAACTGATTTTTTAACTTACGGTAATATCCTTCTATTAAACAGAATAACTGTTTCACTTTTACTATCTATAGTTGATACATTATTGCTGTTCTGCTCCCTTGAACAGGTCT